AAGTGATTTCACTCTAATCCTATTCATAACAACTCTATAAGATACTGTATGTTGGTTTGACTGGCCCAAACTCACAATTTATTTATTTATTTATTTATTATTCAAATTTCTATACCGCCCTTCTCCTTTCAGACTCAGGGCGGTGAACAGCCAAAATAAAAACATCTATACATAACATTACAGTTAAAAATAGAGTTAAAATAATTTATAAATTTGGCCCATGATTTAAAACTTGTCAATTTAAAATCAATTAAAATTTTAAAACTAACCCTAAAATCAAGACAGACCAGCTAACTGAAAAAAATAAGTTTTTAGGGCCCGACGAAAAGTCCGGAGGTCGGAGATCACTCGTATCTCTGGGGGTAGATTGTTCCATAGGGTAGGTGCCACCACAGAGAAGGCTCTCCTCCTGGGGGTCGTCAGCCGGCATTGTCTGACCAACGGCACCCTGAGGAGGCCCTCTCTGTGGGAGCGAACCGGCCGGTGGGAGGCTATTGGTGGCAGGAGGCGGTCCCGTAAGTACCCTGGCCCTAAGCCATGGAGCGCTTTAAAGGTGATCACCAACACCTTGAAGCACACCCGGAAGTCCACTGGAAGCCAATGCAGCTCACGCAGGAGAGGAGTCACATGGGAGCGCCCCGTCGCTCCCATAATCCCCCGCGCGGCCGCATTCTGCACCAGTTGGAGCCTCCGGGTGTACCCCAAGGGGAGCCCCATGTAGAGAGCGTTACAATAGTCCAGACGAGAGAGAGACCAAATTCCTTGGTCAAGTGAATATTAAAACATGAGATTCATCGGTCCAAGTCTAATATTTTAATCATCAAGAAACTGAAATTGCCCTTTCCTGGAACATTTGCATTAAGGACCAAAAAGCTTTCTTTTATTGAATTGCAATTATCTCAATAATTCTAGTCCAGGCATTCATTTACCCTTGAATATTATCCCAGATGTGTAATGTGCTCTTCCAAAATCACTATCAGTCAATCTGAACACTATATAATTACAGTAGTAAATTTAGCTTCCAGACCAACCATTGTTTAACTCTCTGTCTCTGGAAAAGTATGAAAAGGTAAATTGTTACAATCGTTGCATTCTTTGTATTCTCCATATAAATTAAACTTTTCTAGCCTTTGAATGCTTCTTCTTTGCTTTTAAGACTAATAAGTAATCTGTGTTTGCCACATTAATATAATAATTATAATGCTAAGCATGATAATTTTACGTGCCAGAGATTTTAGAGCAGAAGTTCAGTTTGCAGACAGTTCAGTTTTAAGATCTTATTTAACTCTATTTCATAAGATCAAAAATTTGGATGAGGTGTATTTTGCTATCAAGCCCAATCCTCTGCTCAGTGAAGGAAACTAAATTAAAGCATTGCTGAGATCTGACTACACTTGAATGAATCCAGTACGGGGGACTTTTTCATCTTTCTGGGGAACTGACTTCATTATCAAATTTAACTTTATGCAGTTTTCCTATTACATTCATCCCTCTCCATCTTTTTTCAAGGTTGAACATAGAGAAATGTGACAGAAACATGAAACATATGAAGGATAGTACTCTAATTTTTCAAGAACTTTTTAAGCAGCATCTTCTAGCATATTAGCTACTATATCCCATTCTTTTATCTACAAACCTATTAAGCATTTTCTTTATTTCTTCATCAAGACCATTGATGAACTGAATATTGAACCTCCCTACACAATATTATTTTTCACTTTTAAAAGGGAAAGATTATTAACTCTGAGTTAAATAGCATATACATTAGAATATATGCATATTTTGCTAAAATCAATGTTGAAAGCAGTTCAACTTTTCTTTCTTTCTTCCTAGCATTTTCCTGCAAATCCACTTTTTTCAATTCAGCCAAGTGTTGATTCATTGGTTGCGACAGGAATCGACTGACTGGCTTGTTTCTCAAGCCTGATGTCATGGGCTGAATGGCCCAAAGTCACCCAGCCAGCTTTTATGCCAAAGAGGGACTAGAACTCATAGTCTCATGTTTGCTAGCCTGCTGCCTTAACCATTAAACAAATATGGCTCTCTTCTTCACAATTTACACAAATCTATCCTGAATTAATTACTTTTCCAGCAGTTTATAAATCAATCATTTTTTGATCTATTACAGAATCTTTCCAGTTGATATTAGATTGACGTGTATAATTTCACAGATCATCCAACAACAACTCGATTATAGCTAAAGGGCAGAAATAAAAGGTCTAATGAAAACAGGTAAAAAAAATTAATACAGGAAATTCTTCATGGTTGAAATAAGAGCATGCTACAACTGTGGGAGATTTTTCATCAATTGACACCTAATTTTCATTGCTGCCAGACAGTATTTTGCTACATCTGAGTTATAAATGGGTTACAATCTGAGAAAAGGATGAGCATATAACTATTGTCAGATTGCTCAGTGTGCTTCTGGGAAAGAGGTAGATCATCCTTCTCTTCCTGTTTATTATTACTCTGAAGTAATTAAAATATATTGGGGAGTGAGTAGTTAATTCACAGTATGTGTTTAACTACTTTAAGATTAAATTTCCCAAAATGTCACATTACTTTCACTCTGCCTACACATGTTTACTACTGGTTTACATCAAATCAAGGCTAGCTGATCCCATTGTGACTTCCTCCACCCTCAGAAAGACAAAGTTCTTAGCAAGACAAGTCAACAATATTTTGGATGTCCCTGTTTGCAAAAGTTTGTCCCCCATCAGATAACTAAAATCTCTGTAACCTTCTTATCTCTTTTATTGGCCTTGCTTTCACCGTTTACTACATTAGATGATTTTTGCTGCTACAATTTGGTTTCAGCAACTTTCCTAAAGCCTGAGGCTTTACTGTCTATTACTGGTAGCTTAACCTAGAATGCATCCCTTTTTCTTTGAAGTATTTGAAATATTTAATCCCTTTTTGCCCTGTAGGGCTCAGAGACTTAAAGAGATGCTGCATGAGAGTTCAAACCATGCCCTCACTAATGGCAGACTCTTGACTCCAAACAGGATGCTTGATATGCACATGGCTATTTTCCCCACAGTTCACACCCATTAACACTGAGCCTTCCTGCTATTATCAGTTAGTCACCAAGGAGAGACTTGCAAAACAAATTACCAGAGCACAAAATCTGGATACTGTCCAGAATCTTTAAAAACAACAAATCTTCAACCACTTAAAATAGAATTAAATATGTGTTTTCTTTATCTAGTATTTTTTCCAAGGCATGTATTAAAAAATTTAAACTCAGACAGGAATCACGACCAGATGAACTAATTCTACTTTATTGAAATGCTACATTAACAGAATCTTACAAGTTTGATAGTACAAATCTCCCACTGTCTTTTTTACAGTGTAAAATGTTAGGAAGGTTCTCTTCTGAGTTTCTTTGCCTGTTATGCAGCCATGGGCTGTATCCTCTGGGCTGTGTCCTCTCTTATCTGATCACTCCCTTGGCATTTTCCCCACCATCATCACTGGTTATTCCCACATAACATTTCAATAAGTATATGCTCCCAGTTTAGATGCAATGTTGGAAGAAATTAAATAATCTTATGACAAAATGCTACACTAAATATAAATGTATAGTAAACCATGAAATATAAATGTTTTGTAAATAATAAAATGTATGTAAATGTATGTAAATGATAAAATGTAAATGATTTGTAAACTGCCCAGTTTCATTTAGGTGAGATGGGCAGGGTAAAAATGTGATGTATAAATAAAAATAAAATAAAATGCAACATTTGGAGAAATGGCCAAACCTAGAATTAGAAGAATATTTGGATTAGGTAAATGCAAATATAGGTTACGGATTAATACATAATTTAAAGGCATTTGTTCTTTGTCAACCTCTCCCTCAAGCAACATAAATGCAAACTTTACGTGTAATATCATTTGATGGATAACATCAGAATAAAATCAACTATTATAATAAGAAGCAGAGGATTCAAGACTTTCAGGTTAGGTTGCAAGACAAATTATTAATTACTGATGTTAAATATATAGTAAACTTGGAAAATTAAAGTTAAGAGGTATGCCAGAAGTTGTGCTGGATAACATAGTTAGTATATAAGATCATTATAATGAACAGATTTTGTACGCTTAATGTATATACAGTAGATAACTTGAGCAGTTATGGGAGAGACAAAGGAAAATGTGAAAGGAAAGGAAAGTGATAATCAAAGCAAAAGAAAATTTCTCAAAGAAATTTGAGAAATTTTTCAAAGAAAGAAACTAGTAACTTTCAATGCAAACTATCACAGGGAGAATGAAGGCCCCAGGCATCAGAGGCCAACATCACATTCAGAGTCAAACTACTAAGGACAAGGACATATTTTAGCCAACAATGTCAAGAAGTAAAGGAAAATATATTAAAATCCACAAGTGTGCCAGAACACCTGATTATTCTGAGGAAACTTTACAAGGACCAAGAAGTACTCTAAGAACTGAGTTTGGGGATTATTTTGAGCATGGGATGAGAACAGATGTAGGTTAGCAGACTCTCTTGGCCAGAAAAGGAAAATAGCAAGGGAAGAAATAGATGTGGATGAATTGGATATTATTGGAATATCTTTGGAAGCATTATGGAGTATTGCTGGAGGCAGATTACAGATATTTGTCCATCCGAGTCTCTGGCCTGAATTGATGGTACTTAGCTAACCATCTAAAAATGAGATGAACAGGATGAGACTCTTCACAAGCATTTTCTTATGAAGTCAGTCAAGCCTACCTTTTCACGGCCTTTTTCTAGGACCAGAATGGGGAAATTTTCATTTTCAAATCCAATCCTCATATTTAAGTCCAATTTTTTACATGCACATAATATCATCCTCAGAAAATAGGTACTCTGAAAGTATATAGCGTTACAACAATAGTGACTAAATTTATTTTGTACTGATTAATTCTGTCTCATATCCTTCAAAACTATAACAGGCAAGAGAGGAATTCCACAGCGTCAGTCCACTTGTTAATTGAGCCTGCTTCCTTCTATTATTTTACAGGAAGCCCTCGGACAATCAACTCACACAGTCAAAGTTCATCCCATTTTTCCCCTGATCACAGAATGAATAGAACAGCAAGGAACTAAGGACTGGCAAGTGAAAGAAAACATGATAGCTTTAAAAATGTTAATATTTTTGTGGATATGTCACTGTGTTCTTCTCCAAGGTAAGGTACTATATTGACCAATCATATAGCTACTCAATACCGTGTTTCCCCGAAAATAAGACCGTCTTATATTTTTTTGAACCCTGAAATAAGCGCTTGGCCTTATTGCTATGCGCTCAAAAGCACGATTGGGCTTATGAGGGGATGTCTTATTTTGGGGGAAACAGGGTAGTAAGCCTCAAGAAGTTCTTTAATAATCAAGATTATAATTGCAGCCTTCATTGCATTCAGTTAGAAAATCAACTTACAGAAATAGAGTAGTTGGTTAGCTTGCATAATTTTTTTTTCTGTGACGATACAATTAAAAAATGTCTAATCTAACGTGTTTAGATAAGGCTTCTTTTTGCGTGAGTCACTGGAGAGTTGTTGATGCTGCTGAGCTAGATGCAACTATGTTCTTTTTCAGCTTAAATCAGCTTAATAAATTTTCAAGAAATAAGCTAAAGCAGTTTCGCTGTATTCATGAATGGTCAAAAGAGTGGTTAGTTGTTGGAAATCTCTTGCTATTCATATTGTACTACAGATAGATTCTGAATCTTGATATTACAAATTGGCTCATTACACATAAGAAGACTGGAGTGAGGGGGGGAATGGCTTATTTATCACCAATAATATTTCATGTAACTTAATTGTTTAATCAATTAATTAAATTAATGTATAACATTTATAAATAAATAACATATATTGTTTAACAAATGATGGCTTACAGATAGAACCAAAAATGGACTTTATGTTCATATCTGATGCCTAAATTTCAGACAAATTATAATTCATAGTGAGGTATCTGCAAATACTTTTTCTTAGGTTGGTGCAGATACTGATATGTCTTTATATGTACCACGTCTTCCCTAGATAGCTGAGACAATAACTTCGAAACACTTCCTTATTATGTATCAAAGCTCAGCAAGATATCACAAAGACAGAAAGACTGGAAGACCACTTGTCTTCAGCCTAGAACTGTCACTATTGCTGTTTCTGATTTCTCTCTTTCTAGCCTTAATATTGATGGTTTCACCTGAGAAATTGATTTAGTGGACAAAAAAGTAAAAAAGAACAAATGATACATATATTTCAGAAAACATAAATTAAGTATAGTATCTCTCAAATTATGCTCTATTCTCTAGAGTAAATATTCTTTTAAGGCTATTCTTAAGGGAGTTGATAAGCAAACCTCTTTTGTATCCTGACCTTGCTTCTATTCAACCTTTAATCCATTCCTGAAGTATCAGCTTTTGTCATTTGGACACTAATGATCTTATTATTCTCAAAATCAGGGAAACGTATCTTCCCAGCAAAGAAATCATAAATAACAATTATCTTAACTGAATCAAAGTTCAGTGACAAATTTCCTTTCACTGCAAAAGAAAGTTGTTTTAATAAATTAAAACAATAAATTTTATTTTCAAAAGCATCATACCAAAAATAATATTAAACAAGATACACATGTAGCATGTTTATTTATTGGATTTGTTAAGGCCTCCAATATCAAGAACACTCTGAGCAATGTGCAATATGTCATAGACATATATTAAAAGCATATTAAAAATCAAAACAACATTCCCCAAAAACTCAAGAGGGGTTCAACAATTGCCCTAGCTCCAACTCTGGTACCAAAGCCAGGTCTTAAGAGACTTTGGAAAAACAAGTAGGATGAACTCCATGTATATTTCCAGGGGGATGCTATTCCAGAGGACAGGGCTGCAAGAGAAAAGGCAAATTAGATAAAAAAGAAATGGAAAATCAGCTAAAAATCAGTGACAGATAAAAGGGACAACAATAGCATTTTAAAAACATGTGGGGGAAAATCAGAAATTGAGCAAACCATATGGGAAAGAGGTGTCAATATGGGAGTGACGATCCACAATGTTTATGGAAATCTTAGGGGAGGAGATATGTAACAAACTTGAGTATGCCACATTGGATGAAGTTCTTTTCAAGATCATTGAAATATTTGTTGAAAGGAGCAGAAATAAAGTACAGATCATGCCTCAATAGTCTGAAACAGAAGTACTAGTAGCTAATGAATGGGAATAAGTGGGCATTAATGCCTACTTATTCAAGATTTATGAGAGAGAAAATGAGTTTTTCTTAAAGTACATACAGTTATGAAAACCAGAACTTTCCTTCAAATGTCATCTAAGAACATTCTTGTTTTTCATTTTGCTTGTAGGTCCTGAGCCCAAGGAGAATAGCACTCTCTTTCTTCCCTCCTTGGCAGGTAGAGGACAGCTGCTCCTATTTATTATACTACATCATTTTCTTTTCAATTTAGATCTATGTGAAAACTAAACAAAGTCTCATAACTGGATGGATAAGAATTAGCTTGAAATGTATTTTTTTCTCCATGAAATAAAACATTAATCTTCATATCTTCCTTTTTATTTTCAAAGCCTATTATACTAAGTTCCAAGCAAATTCTGTGACAGTGTTGATTTATTCCACAGTAATCAGTGTTTTCCTATGGATTTAAAAGATTCTAGCTTGGTTTATGAGAGAAAAGTGCATTTAGATTATTATCAAAGTAACTAAAAAAACTGTTAGATAGTTGGTAAGATATCTTCAGTCCTGTTCCAGGACTGTTTCCCACACTATTTTTCCCAGTTTTTCTCTGTGGAATATACACCATGTATACATGTGACACCCAACTATGTAAAAGTGGAACAAACGAAGGCAGCAATAAACAATGACAATAATACAAAACAGGAAATCAACATTAATTTATACATTTAAAAACTGCTTTTCCCTACCTTTAGGCAGCCTGCAACTTATTAATTAACATGCATATATTAAAAGAATTTTATATAATCTGTATGCAAGCAGTAACAAGGGAGATCAGAGCAGCAAAAAGAAGCTACTCTGAAAAGCAAAAGAATCAGTTCTCAACAAATGAACCAGCAAACATGTGGAAAACTCTTAAAAATATCACTGGTTACGGCAAACCTTCTTTCCAAGCTGAAGGAAATCAACAGCTGGCAGATGACCTGAATGTGTTTTACTGCAGGTTTGAAAGGAAACTACAGCCACCTATCTTCACAACCCCCATATCAGACACACCAATAACAGCCAAGCCTCCTACAACTGACCCCATCCCATTGGGTTCACAACCTCTAGTGATCACAGAAAAGGAAGTGCAAGACCTATTTCACAGACAAAAGCCAGGAAAAGCTCCAGGCCCAGACAAGATAACTCCTTCTTGCTTAAAAGTCTGTTCTGACCAATTGGCCCCATCTTTGCCTGTATTTTCAATAAATCGCTAGAGATGTGCTATGTTCCTTCTTGCTTCAAACGCTCTACTATCATCCCAGTGCGGAAGAAGCCCACTATCAAGGAACTGAATGACTACAGACCAGTTGCTCTAACATCTGTAGTCATGAAAACCTTTGAAAGGCTAGTGGTGTCCCACTTGAAAACCATCACGGATCAGCTGTTAGACTCCTTGCAATTTGCATACCGAGCAAATAGATCAACAGATGATGCTGTTAATATGGCTCTGCACTACATCCTACAACATCTTGCATCTCCAAAGACCTACGCAAGGGTCCTCTTTGTAGACTTTAGTTCAGCATTCAACACCATCATTCCAGACATTCTTCTAACTAAGCTAAACCAGCTAGTGGTACCTGAATACACTTCTAAGTGGATCATAAGTTTCTTAACAGACAGGAGCAGCAGGTGAAGCTAAGCAGAATCACATCAGATACCTGTACAATTACCACAGGGGCCCCACAAGGCTGTGTGCTCTCTCCACTTCTCTTCTCTCTATATACCAATGACTGCATCTCAAACAATCCATCTGTTAAACTACTGAAGTTCGCAGATGACACAACAGTGATCCGTCTCATTCAAGACAATGTGAATCCGCATACAAGACCTAAAATGGACACCTAACATCAAAAACATCATCAAAAAAGCACAACAAAGAATGTTCTTTCTGCGCCAACTCAGAAAGTTCAATCTGCCCAATGAGCTGCTGATACAGTTCTACAGAGGAATTATTGAGTCTGTCATCTGCACCTCTATAACTGTCTGGTTTGGTTCTGCAACCCAACAAAACAGACACAGACTTCAGAGGATAATTAGAACTGCAGAAAAAACAACTACTACCAACCTGCCTTCAAATGAGGACCTGTATACTGCACGAATCAACAAGAGGGCTATGAAAATATTTACAGACCTCTCACATCCTGGACATAAACTGTTTCAATTCCTATCCTCAAAACGATGCTATAGAGCACTGCACACCAGAACAACTAGACACAAAGCAGTTTTTCCCCGAACGCCATCACTCTGCTAAACAAATAATTCTCTCAACGCTGTCAAACTAGTTATTAAGTCTGCATTACTATTAATCTCCTCATCATTCTCATCACCCATCTCCTCCCACTTATGACTGTAACCTTGTTGCTGGTATCCTTATGATTTATAGTGACTGTTTCCTAATATGATTTGATTGTTTATTTGTTCCCTATGACTATCATTAAATGTTGTATCTTACGATTCTTGATGAATGTATCTTTTCTTTTATGTACACTGAGAGCATATGCACCAAGACAAATTCCTTGTGTGTCCAATCACACTTGGCCAATAAAGAATTCTATTCTATTCTATGTTGTTATTACTGTTATTATATATTACATCAGTGATTATCGGTGAACTGATCACTGAACAGCTTTCTGTTTTGCAAAGCAAAAGTTGTTTAAGCATGCATCATCGAAAAGACTATTCCAAAAGCCTTTCGAAAACTACATAAAATAGCTGTTTTAACAGTTGCCATCCAACCGGAAAAGTACTCTCCTTTCAGGGGAGAAAGAGGGGAAACAAATTTAATTAATTTTTAAACTATTTTTATTTATTCAAAGAAAACTTAAAATAAAAAACTAAAAGAAAATTTAAAAATACAAAATACAAAAAATACAAAGCATCTAAGGACATTAAAAAGGGACATTAAAAAAGAAAAAAAAACCAACATACATACACATATTATCCCCCCTGGTTGAATACTGATTAATAAATTGCTACAATATTAGTTCCCACCCCTTGTGAAAGAAGTCCCCTCTCCATTTTTTTAAACTAGTAAATCTATTTACAAACTATTCAACTGTCATCTATATGCTATATTAATGACAAAATAGTTAACAGGAAGAACAATAACAATGAAAAGAACAAGATTAGAGGTTTCCAAACTCTCTGTTAACAAAGTGTTACTGTGATCAATTCGTAGAAAATTTACCATGGCATCTTATCTATCCCAAATCATACCAAAAGTTAATAGTAATTAATCCTGGATCAAATATCACGTTTCTTTCTTGATACCATTTCTTATTGGTTATTGTCTAGTTAAATATAATATATTCAATCTCCACAATTGGTCTATCTTCCCAGCAATGTCCAGATAAAAGTGGTTGGCAATTAAGAGTAATTAATCCATTCTCCAGTCTTCCCCAGTCCTCCAAGGAATACCAATTGACACTTCTCCATGTCAGGTTTCTGCTATTGAGAACAAATGCAGATTTAAAGTTCAGAGATATGTATAGAATCAACTCAGTTAGTTCTCTGTCTGTACAGTCAATATCTCTTTGATTTGCAGCTTTCAAATCAGATTTCTCCAAAGACTCCGCATATTTTCTATGAGCATTATTATCTCATCAAACTTTTTAAAAAAGTTTTCAATTAAAAGTTGCATGTTGCCAAAAGATCTTTTCTCAAATTTTAGCCATTGCTTGTCTGTAATGTAGTATATTGTTGCTTTATGAAGCTTAACCAGAGAATAAAGAAGATGAAGCAGAAGAAAGCAGGAAAGGTATTTTCTGAATATTTCGATCCAAGATTAAAATAAAAATAAAATTAAAAACACACCAAATATTTTGTAAATTAAAAAGATGACAAAAACCTGGTGGTGAGAATCCAATATTAATATAAATCAAATGGAAGCACTTCACCTTCGACACACACTCCCTGTTAAAGTTAAAGATTTAGAACAATAGCATAAATCAAAGGAAAAAGAAAGAGAACAGCTAAACTTCAACAGGGGGGTTGAAACAAATCAGCATTCAGCAGGTCTACTGTACTTTTAAAGACAAAAAGCAAGGCAAATTTCAAAAGTGAAATTAAGACCCAGGGACACTTAAAACTCCCCCAAAATGCCTACAGAAAGTGGGATGCCCATGACTTTTCGACAGCTCCCAGAGGGAGTGTTGCGATATTTTCAGGATCAGACTCAATAAATTGTTCAAGAATTAAGAGTTCAAATATATCTCTCTTTATTTACATAAGGCATTCTATATTCACTGAATATTCACAGATAGAAGCACAGAATGAACGTATGCAGCTCCTTATATATACAATGGGTGGAGCTAATTATGGGAGTGGTAAAGTATGAATACATTAAGAAGTGAAGAATAAGTTAACCCCTGACACACTGTTCATATATTATTTACATAATGGAGAATAAGGCATTTACTTGTGACAAATCCCCCTCTAAATGCCGATTCGATATATTACAACAATTACATTCAGATTCAGAACAATATAATACATGTAACTTAGAAGTCAGGTATTTATGTTGCTTAGATGGCAAAGGCTTTGTTAATATGTCAGCTATTTGCTCCGATGTTTCGCAATGAACTGCTTTGATAAATCCATCCTGAGACAACTGTCTCACGTGTTTAAATTTTATATCTATATGCCTGGATCTTTGTCCAATGGCATCAGATCTAGATATTTCGATAGCAGCTTTGTTATCTTCATGCATGATAAAAGGCAAAATGGGTTTTTTCCAAATGTCAGAGAGTAAATCATTGAACCATACAAGGTTATTAGCTGCCTTAGATAGACAAACATATTCTGCCTCTGTTGTTGAAGTGGCTACTAACTCTTGTTTGCCAGTATACCAGTAAACTGGACAGTCATTGAGAAAGAATATATAACCAGATGTGCTTTTTCTACATGAGGTATCTCCAGCCCAATCCGCATCGGCATAACATGTGAGGATGGGCTCTTTGACATTTTTAGGTTCCAACAATAAACAGAAGTCTAAACTATTTTTCAAGTATCTTAATATCCTTTTGACAGCTTCCCAATGGTATAGTGATGGTTTACTAACGTGTCTGGACAATAAATTGAGAGGCAAAGCAATATCAGGCCTAGTCCAATTGGAGATGTAAAGAAGTGAACCTATGACAGACCTGTAAAATGTATTGTCTTTGAATTCAGGAGATG